TATTTTAGTTTAACAATTATCTTAATATAGTATTAAAACTACTTTTTACATTTTTACGATTTTCTGTGATTTATATTAGATAGCACGGCCCTGTTATTTTTTTTTTTTTTGTAATTTTAGATTAAATTAACATAAGAAAATACCAACAAATTGTTTGGTGATAATATTGAACGTAAACATGTGCAGATTTAGAATAATGTTAAATTTGTTTGATTTATTCAGAAATTGGGTTCTCCAAAATTTATTGAAATGCCATATTGACATATTGTATTTATTATGAAGAATTAGGATCTACATAGTTGTGCGGTGGCTTATAAAAGTAATTATTATTTACATTAAATATATACATATTATGTATCAAATATATTACACACAATAGTAATAATATAATAGATAAACTATATCGTGCAATTGATTTATTTCTAACGTAAAAAAAAAAAAATATCTCGAATTCTAACAATAGTTTATTGAGTTAAACGTTTTGTTTTAGCCGAAATTCTATTGTTGATTCGCGGTATGTCGCGTTCAACTTAACTGTAAACGTGCAAAATGCAAAAATGTACAATATACAACGCGTAACGTAAAACGTCGGATAACTTGGACACATAGACCATATTATACTCGATATCGTTTTAACGTGTCAAGTCCATGTACAGCATACGACTGAAACGTATAATATCAATAATATGTAATATGTATACACTTAAACGATCGCTCATGTTAATATGAATAATATGACATGTTTAATAAAGTACAGCTGTAACTTTCGTAAAAGCATTTCGCGTCACAATATTTTGGTAAGCATTAATAATGTAGGTAGTATGAATATTATGTAACGTTTAAGCCACATTTTCCCACCCCCTCCCAAATCTCATCATTATTCAAAACGGTAAAGTTATTAAACAATATAGGTATAGGTACCTAACCTATTGCAGCACGCCGCGGCGTGTATATTATATCGATGCGTCCGAGGAGATGAATTAAAAATAACGCGATCGCTGCAGCTGCATCTGATTCGCCCTGTACATGCACTCGCCGCCGCCGCCGCCGACACGCTCGTAAGAGGCCAGACGCCCGCCGATAACGCCGCCGTGCAATGCGTGCGTTTGGGACGATGGGTGACGGCGAGACGAGTGGATGCGATGGCGAGCACGGGTACAGGCGGGCCGCGGCGGCGATCGATCAACGAAATTCTTTTTTCACGGCGGTGGCGGCGGCCGTTTAATTTTCGTCGGCGGCGGCATTTTATTTTTTTTTCGGTTACGCACCGGACGCCGCGCCGCCACCCGCCGCCGCTGCATGCAGCCGCCGCCGCTGCAGCCGCACGTTCTTTGCCTCCCGCTGCACCGACCCCCCCCCCCCCCCCCTCGCACCGCTGTCGCGCCCGGCAATGCACAGCCGCTGCACTCACTTCGCCATCGCCGCCGCCGCCGTCGTCCCGAACGTTTTGGGGCGGCGTCGGCCAGAGCAGAGAAGATGCAAATTCGCCGGGAATTTTATCGACGTGGGCCTACGCCGCCGCCACCGCCGCCGCTCGCTATCGGCACCAGACGGCGGCAGTGACGGCACAGACGGGTCGGTGGCGGGCGGTGCGTGCAGCGCGGGGCCCATGCAGTACGAGACGACAAAGAAAAGCCCAGCTAAATTCGGCAACTACGCCGAGCGCAACCCCCGCCGCAGTATATATACGTATGTATGCCAAGCCTATGTAATACATAAACTGCAGTATGTACATAATATACATATACATATCTACATCCTCCTGCTTATACCGCCGCCACCGCCGCCGTAACCCTTCAAAAACAATGAACGAAATATGTACACACTATAAAAAATATATATTATACATATTTCGAGTAGAAAAAAAGAAGAGGGGACGCGTATCCGAACAAAGAGGGTTGTCACGCCAACTACAAAAAAAAAAAGAAATAAAAAAATTGAAAAATTTCTCGCAAGAAAAACTGTTTTAGGCCGATTCGTGAAAAATGCATGCCCCTAAGATATATAATATAAAAAAAAAAGAGAGTCGTTAGCAATCTGTCTGGGACGCATCCAATCGCATTTCGTATTCGGTCGGTTCATTAGATATGCCCGTTGCGTGAATGTATATTAACCCGTCAATGGCGTCATTTGGACGAACAAGAGGGGGATTTTCTTTCTTATAGTTTGAAATGCCTATTTCAGTATAGGAAACTAATGTGTTAATAAAAATATATTATATGTTTAATTAATTTAATATTTTTCTTAATTAAAGAATAATTTTTTTTTTAATATTGTTGTTTACTGCGTCTTAAGTGTTAAAATATTTTTAAATTCAAATTTGTAGACACATTTCTTGTGATATTTACTTAAAATTAATACGAATATTAAATACTCAGAATTAGCATAGCGCTGACTGGAGAAATTACCTAGAACAAATAAAGCAAAAACTATGTGTTGTCGGAAGCAATAATAATGTTTATTAATAATGAAAGGGGTTATCAACCCCCCTCCGATCTAGCAGAACTTAAAAATATGGACAGATATCGTGTGTATTCTTTAACTATCGTATATTATACATTTATACGGTTGATTAATATAGTATAACATAGTATTTTTATATTATTATGAATATAATAATCGACATCCTTTTATAATTAACAATATAATATATAATATACGAAGACGTATGGATGTGCATATGTTTATCACCTGCGTAGCCGTTAACCACATATAGGTTATTATATTTTAAGTTCGCATACAAATCTCCGGACCACGTGTAAGGAAATACCAATATAAATGTATTATTTAAGTATGTATAAATATGTTATAAGGTCTGCGGATTATTTTGTCTAAAATGTATACGTGCACTACAAACGTATAATAATGCGGTCGTGTCGAATTCGTTGGAAATACGTATACATACAAAGTAGTAGGCCTGTGTACAATATATAAATATGTAGTGTAATGTATATTAACGCAGGGCGGTGACGGGTCGGAAAAAGAGAGCGCAAGACGCGACGCATTTTGGGGATTCGGTTTTGTGCAATGTATTCGTTTTTCCCTCGAGTGCATTATCGCGCAGACCGCCGCCGTTCTCCCTACCATTCCCGCCGTCACCACTGCCGCCGAAGCGTATAGGCCGCCGCCGCCGTCGAGTCGATAAAAAACGGCCTCGTACGCGCGTGTGTGAAATAAGTTTTTAAAAAGCGGTCGTGTATATATATGTACGTGCAACGGCGTAGAGACGACGGTATTTTGGCGTGGCCCGGCTAGACCCAAAGTATTGATTATCTTCCCCTTTTTTTTTCGGTTGCTAAGTGATTATAACAAAAAAAAAAAAAATTCGGCCGGATGAGAAGGGGAACGAAAAAAAAAGCGGAAGTCGATGGTGGCCGGCGGGGGCGCGCCCGTACATTCGGCGTGTACACATACATACACTGCACGTTATACGTGTATGTGTGTGTGCGTTCGGTTGCAATGTATACTGGTGGGGAACGAATGCAACTACGTGTTGCATCACGACGTGCCAACCCGCCCGCCTGGCCAGTCCGCAGACTCGTGACGTCACTACCGAAGAACGCGTCCGACGAAATACACACACGTACAAATATACACACACACACGCGCGCGCGCGCGCGCTCAGATTTATACACACACGCATACAATTACAAATGCATACGCAGACTTACAAACGCACACACGCGCCGCGCGCGCGCACACATGCATATACACATGCACACGCCGGATCACTGGCGCGCGGTGTAGTAATATACTACGCGACCGTCCGCCGTGCGCGCGTACCGTCGTCACCGTCACTGTCGTGTGGCCGAGTAAGAGAGCCGCGTGCGCCGTCCCGCCAATTATTGATACGCGCGCGCGAGAGAGAGTGTAACGTGCTCGTCGACGACGACGACGACGACCGCGACGACGTTGCACATACAACTGCACCGTGCACTTTAATAATAACATACGCGGTGTACACGGGGTGCGAATACGCCGCGCGGACGATGCAGTTGCAGCGCCGCACGGCCGTCGGATGCGGCCCGTGCCCGGCTGCGGCGCACGACCGTCAAGCGGTTAGGAAACACTTGCGCCGGTGGTCACACAACATGGTGCTCATCATCGGTAAGTACGACGCAAGCACGTCACTAACGCGTAAACCACGACTTGACCGTTCGTATGGTATTATTACACCTGTACTACATAATTACAGTTTACCGTGTGTGTGTGTATGACCTGCCTCAACGCGATACGCGTTGTAACGTAATTTTATTTTTATTTTTATCTTGTTTTTCTTCGCCGCGACGACGATAGTAATAATAATAATAATAATAATAATGTATCTTCTACGGCGGCGACGACGACGTTTCGGCAACGAAAATCGATTATTTCGGTCGGCCTGGAACCCTCTTTTTTTTTTTTCTCTCATTTTTTTTTTTTTTTTTTTTTTAGGCGTAAAAAACCGCGCACGCATACTGGTCAATCCGAGTAGGCCGAGGGTAGGCGCGCGCGATGTGGTCGAGGAGGTAGCGGCGTGGCAGTAGCAGTATTGTGTGTGTATATAGTGTCGACAACGTCGATGGTGGTGGCGGTTGATGGTGGCGGTAGCGGTGGTGGTGGTAGTGGTGGTAACGGTGATGATAGTGGCAGTGGTGGCGGCGTCGACGACGACGTTGTCGGCGTTAAAGTCAAGGGTGGGGGTGGTAACGACAGCGGCGGGGTTTTATAGGAAATGCACCGTGGGCCGGCGGCGGGGCGGGGCGTGAGACAAAAAAGACTTGCGGGTCGGGGGTGCTGCCGGTGCCCCACTGCTCCCTGCGCGAGAGTGGTTCGGCCGTCTTCGGCGCTGGCCGTGCATCGGACGTCTTCGTGATTCCCTCCTCCAGCCCGTTGGCAATGTTTGTTCGGATGGGTGGGGGCGGGCGGGTGATCGTGTGTGCGCGCCGGGCGGCGACGGCGAAATGCAGTTTTTCGACTGCCTAATGCATGTTGCACATTTCGTGTTCTCCAAGGACGACGGCCCGACCAACCTAAATGAGCGGTCCTCCTGCATTCAGATGCACTGTGCTCGGATGCACCAACGGGCGGTCGCAACGACTTCGAAATAAATTTATTACCAATCTGTTTAATATTTTTTTTCCGTTTTACTCTTTTTTTTTTTAATTTACTATTTTTTTTTTTTATTATTTAATTATTATTATTGTCGCTATTATTTTTTATTCGCAGTCTCAGTGTGCGTTTGTTTGTGCTCGTGCGGTTATATCAGTTTTAAGTAAATAATAAATTATTTTCGTTACGTTATAAATTTATTAAACTCGTGTTCGACGAGTCCGTGTTCGTGTTGCAAGCGACAAACGACTATTATTTGGACACCAAATTATTCACAAAGCTCAATTTTTTTTTCTTCGCCTCAAACTTGGCGATCCATAGCGTTCAGACACGGTACGTTTATGATTTTTATAAATTTGTTTGACGTCGTGATTTTAGGTCAACCATTGTTTAAACCGCGTCCTTAGTTTAGGTCAAATTTATTAGACGTTATTGAAATTGCGACTGACCTCTTCTCTCTCTCTTTCTCACCGAATAGCGTTAAATATAATTAAAAAACATATGTAATTACTAACAGTGTAATTAATTTAATTATTTGTGCATATGTGAATATTTCAATAATCATATAATTATCACCGAATTTTTTACCAAATATATATACCTATATATATGCATGTACACATTATAATGTCTCGAGTGTGTTGTTTATTTAAAAACGATTAAATTCAAAGTGCTGTTTTCGTAACAACGAATCGTATAACTTCGTCACCTCGATAATGTTTTAATACGAAGAATTAAAATGCACACAATAAGTGGTTAGTTGTTTTTAAATAGTTTTTATTATTATATTATGGTATAAAGTAGAACTCGCACGTGGATAAAAACGGTCGTTCAAAAAAAAAATGTATGTTTATATGTACCTACAATATGCGCTAGAGGTAAGGATTCAGTATGCAATGGCAATTATGCAAATGGATTGTTACCGGACGAAGGGGCCCCGAGATTTGCCGATCATTAGCCAAATTAGATTCTATTACGTTGCCGCACAAAACGTTTTCGCACGGTCCAATCGGACCATAATAATCATTTTTCACGACTTCGGTGCGATTTTATTTGTATTTTTTCATTTGGCAAACGTTTATAATATATATTTGGCCACCACAAACAACCATTGTATAAAAACGGGCAATGCACATAACTAACTTTACGCATATACGGTCCATGTATATTAAAGGAAGAGTAATAAAGGAACAGCCCTAACCGATTCGACCAATCGATTTCCTTTCCTTTCATAATTTTATTTTTGTTTTTGAACACTAAATTGTTGCAGGTGTAACATTAATAACAATATTACGGGTTTGTTCAATGTCACGTGACAGGGGAATATAATATAATATTGTACTATATGTATGCGGTATGCCAATAGACACGATAACTTGGAATCGAATATGTGTTAGATAGAACAAAATACCCTCCAAAAAACCTGTTTTGCGTTATGTGTTTATTATTTTAAGTATACCTACAAGCTTATATAGTTGTGATTGTTGTATAAACACATTAAGTAGACACTATCGGAAAGAGACGTTACATATTATAATATTTCCGATGATATAATTTTTTTTTTTCACTATAATATTTTGTGGGTTTTAATATATTATAATATAATATATATAGTATACTAAATTCGTATTATCGCTTTGTTCTCAAGTTTTTATTTTTTTTTTTCGTTCGACCATAAACTGATTAATAGTTTAAAAAAAAATAGCACACAGACAACAAACGACAGTTTTTCAACAGTTATCGCAAATTGTCCGCCATAATCGACTATTCCATGTGTACACACACATACTCATACACACAAACACACAACCACCTCAACAAACCGTCATCGTCGTCGGGTAAAAATATTATAGCATATACCTACATACATTATATTTTCATAATTATTATTATTAATATCATCATAAATGTTACCTAAATAATTATTTTATAAATAAATTACATGTATTATAATATTTTACATATATATTCGTTTATTTAAATCCTCAATGATTTTGAAGGCTACGTACAGATTAATATTTATAAATCTATCGTTGCTTTGATATCATAATTCTATATAGATCTCTCTATAGTCTATTTAAATAATATATATTGTACATATTATAGCTGTCTAGTTTGAAACAATAATTTACAAATTGCCCCGCTCTTCTGTTTCATATAATATACCAATATACGTAATATTGAATAGTATGTATAATAATTTATCGTCATAACGAGTAACGCCATTTCTTTTTTCGGTTTATAGTTTAAATATCATATGGATATATATATATTATTGATAAAGAATTTGACCCGCCTGTAGAAAAAAAAAAAATAACCGAGAAAACCTACTGATAACCTTTTACCAAATAAAAGCTTTACCATTCGGTTCCTACGCGCGACGGCGACGTGACCTCAGACTTATATACCGCCAACACTGCTGTGCCCCTTTACAAGTACATGATCAATTCGAAATAACATTATATTATACACGTTTCAATGCAGTATAGATTATTATATTATCCGATTAGGTACTTGTAAAATCTATTATTTTATTGTATAAAACAAACTTTACACTATATTAGTTGGTAACAATACACTGCAGACAAATAATCACATTAAACAGCTGCCAACTGACCATTATATTATCGTAAAAATGATACGCGTATATGGACTTGATATACGAATTTGATGTGAAACATTTCGCACAAATTGCATTTGAATATGTGAGTATTGGTAGGTATCTTTTTACTCGTATATATACATATATGCTAGGAAGTAATATATACACGACACATGTCACCATACAATAAACTGCCTATACAGCGCAATTGCATTATTACTGTGTATAATGAAATATAAATGTATTATAAATTAATGAAAATCCGTATTGTATATAGTATAGTGATTGGTAATAAATTTAAGGCCAAAGGGTATATGATTATATAGAGTAGATAAATATACACAACAAACACAAAATAAACAGTGTATTATAGAAATTTAAGTAAAAAAGCACGAAACACAATATTAATTTTCTGATTTATTTAAAGTTCATAAGAACAGCTTTATAATAGTATAAAGACGTGATTGTAATTTTTATAATATTCTAAGTGTTCTGAGAGTCTTATAATACACCTAAAAAGATACATATATAATATAAATTCCGTTTTATAACTGTACGATTAAAATGTAAAAGAAATTGTTTGAGTTTTATTTAAACTGAAAGTGAAATTAATTTTAACAATATAAACAAGCTCACAAATGGTTCAATAGAACTCACTGAATTATTTGCTTTATATATTATATTATTTATATTTTATACATAGTTAAATAGCTATTTTTAAGTCGGGAAATAATCACAATTATGTAAAATTTATGAGAGGAGATGAAGAGTGGGGATTTAATAAGTAGTTGCAAGAAGGAAATATAAACTTTACTTCAAGGTATAATTTGTGCATGTTTATATAGGAGAATTAACAATTTATTTACTATATGTAATATTTCTGAATAAATAAAATCGCAATGAAATTGGCCTCTTCAAGGTGTGATTTGACGTTTTAAATAGTGTAGATTAAAGCACAGATTAATTTATGTTTTTCCTTAATGATCAACGCAAACTTTACTCGCTTACTGACCATTATAATACATAACCATAAAGTATACCAAGTACATTTAATTATAGAATTAACTGTTATACACTGTGTATGATCGTATTTTTGTACAGATCGTGTATAATTTTCGATCGCATTAATCGCAAACGGTGTGGATCATCAATGAAACACTCACGTCCGACGATAATATAAGCGTCCATAATACACGTTTTTCTCGGAATTCGATTATTATTGTATTTTTTTTTTACATTTTCATTTTGTTATTTCTTTGCCGAAATAAAAACCACGAACAAACCAATCGTGTGTACAATGATACAACAATATAGGTTTATAAAAAAATCAGAGTGGAAAAAATGTATATAATACACACACATATATATATATATATTATGAGGATAAAATATTATTCTATTCTGTACGGCGCGGTTAGGCGACCGCGCGCGTTTTCCCGGTAGATTCTTGCCAAAAAATGTGACTCATTATTTTTAAAATCCTCCACGGGCACGGAAATTTCGGAAAAAATCAAGTCTCTAAAAAACAGATAGTAATGTACGACGCGTTTTAATAAATGTTCAAAGAAACCATGAACTTTTAAACGATATAATATCATATATATATATATATATATATATATATATAACTGCGTTCATTATCACGCATATTATCCTTATTAATTATTATTATGATAATGTACCTACGCAATCGTCGTTGTCACCCCGCAGGTGTAAATAATGTATACATAGTGTAACTACTGACTATAATATATACCTACTAATATTTTATGATACGTGAATATTTCCTTTACCGCCGTTTTCTGTATAAAATAATGACGATGGCCTAAATATATTATTATAGCGTCTCGTTACGCACGATTCAAAGTTCGTGACGTTTATATAGCATCTCCTCCGGAGAGACCGCACGATAGACTTTCACATATCGTCGTTCGTAATACTCACACATGCATTTATATACATATACATGTGTTATATTAAAAGTCTACTGCAATACCGATGAAAACTCTGCACAAATCGATTTGTTTCCCTGAGATTCGCGAAGATAACGTATTTGTCATGTACAAAACATACCTATATGTTTAACCGATCAATGTGCGCAATGTAATAGTAGGTACCTATAGGTATAGCATATAATATTATATTGTTTTTTACCAATAAAATTTAAAATTCGATAAGTTTTTAAAAATTATTGTTGCCAACTGAATAATTTTACTGCATATAATACAAGACATGTGTAATTATATAAGTTCTACTGTATAATATAATTACTGGTAAAATTGTCATTTCGTAGTGAAATAATACATGCTATATTATACTACAATAAAATTGTAGATTTATTTCCACATTTACTACATCTAATATATAACTCGTTTTTCTAGACAAGAGAATTAATAATTGAAATGGGTACCTATATTCTAATTTCGTTCAAGTAATACATATTATTTATGTTGTTATTGTTTATTAGTACCTACCTACATACTTAGATTGTGTATAAAGCCAATAAGTTTATCAATCTATCTATGTATATATTTAAGATAAACTGTATTATTATCTATATAGATGATGTGCTTGGTTCATACTATGCTTAAATTATGTTGCTCCATGTTAGTACAATATTTTCATATACTAATACATTTTAAAATAATATGATGTGTATAAATATGTACCAATCTATATATATTTAAATATGCAATGTTGCTAAATCTCCTTGTAATTAAAATACATTTCT